GGCGGCCGGCTGACCTCCGCCCGCCTTCTGTCCTGCAGGGTTTTGGCTGAAGCGGAGCAGCTACGAGGAGCAGCCGACCGTGCGCTTCCAGCACCAGGTGCTGCTCGTGGCCCTGCTGGGACCGGAGCGCGGAGGCTTCCTAGCCTGGAGCACCTTCCCCACCTTCAACAGGCTGCAGGGCGACCACCTGCGCATACCGCTCGTCTCGGTGCGTGGTCGCCGCCGGGCCCTGCAGCCCACCGGGACGGGGATGGGGGACGGGCATGGGGAGAACCCCGGGAAGCTGCGTGCACGGGCCGATGGCCCTGGGCTGCGGTTGACTTTCCTGGGAAGCCCTTCTGTTGTTCCCTTCCGCCTCTGCTGTGGATCCCCGACCCTTAGGAAGCCATTGGGGCCGCTCGATCCCTGGAGCTCATCCTCTCTCTGTGAACCAGGGTGGTGGCGGCGGCCAGGCCTCGTCGTGGCGCTGCTGTTACATTTCACGGCCTTGTAGCTGCGGAAAGGCCAGGCATTGTCAGCTGGAGAGCGCGGGAAGCGAAGGCGCCCGTGGTGAAGGGAGAGCCCCAGAAAGGTGCTGTTGGCCCAGCCTGGCCATCTGGGCTGGTGTCTCCTGCTGCTGCTCCATCCGTAACAAATGGAGCATCTTACCGCCTGAGCAAAGGGATGCAGCGGCTAACGCACCTGGTTGCTTAACCAAAGGGTGAGCAGTTGGAACGCACCGACGGTTTTGCCAGAGAAAGACACCGCTCCTATCAAGATGACAGCTTTGGGAACTTTATGGGGCCGTTCCACCCTGCCCCATAGGGCCACTGTGAATCCGCATCCTCTCCCCTCAGCAGGGGATGTAGTACAAGTAGTCCCAGATTACAGGCATTGGTGCCCATGACGGGGCTTGTAAGAATCGGTTCTGACATAAGTCACAGTACCGCATTTATTTTTGCCTTGTTTTCATTATTATCAGGATTTCATTATGGTCGCCATTCTTTATCAGTATATTTTAGAAATCCAATCTTTGGTTTTTATTGAGATTGGCACGAGAACAGCAGTAACACATACTATATAGTAAGTGCATATTATTAACTGAAATGCACGAAAATGCGTGTTCGTCCTAACTGGAATACCTTAATCAGTCAGTTGGGGGCTACTTGTACATCCCCAAACCTGTGTGGTCGAGAGGAGTAGATACAGACGCAAATTGGCCCTACAGGATAGAGTAGAACTGCTGGATAAGGTTTTCAAAGCCGTCTTTACAGAAA